AGTTTGTTTCACCCCCACAGAGTTTTTATTTCTGTGTCCTCACCACATCCCCCACAACTCCCACCGCTCTGCATACAATTTTGACTTTCCGTATCGAGTTATTGTTTTTTCCTTTCACTCAGACAGAATCAGACCCACGGTGTGTGTGTGTGGATCTGACTCTGCTGTTGAACCGGGCTTAACTCTGAGGAGGTGAGCTTAGAAAGAGAGAATTTAAATGTCTGGAGCTTTTATTTGATCTGCCGTCCATCGATTTATTGCTGAGAAAGCATCAAGAAGTGAAATCCGTCTGAAATAAAGAGGCTGTGATTGCCATAAGACAAAGGAAGATGGCAGATGGGAAATGAGCTTTTTCTTTTTCCTTTTCTTTGTTGTCCATCTGTCCACCTGTCTGCCTCCTCATTTAGAAACATCCCAGTATAGAAGCTGATCAATAAAATCAATCAATACCCCTCTGCCACGGAGGAGCAGAATGAATCTGTAAAACAAAGAGCGAGCAGTAACAGGCAGCGAAACCAACACCAGTTTAAAGCCCTTTGTCTGCTTCCCAACGTTGACTAGAAATAACTCCAAATCTGCTCCCAATACAAATACTGCAGCCACTAGAGGACTTCATCAGTGGAAGGTTAACAGATGCTGAAAGACAGTCTACCTAATTAACAAGTTAAGATGTAAATATAAAATAAAAGCTTAAAGCACAGATGTTTAATTCCTCAACAGTTAAGCTTCTGATATACTTAAGCAACCTCTAACCTTCATGTGGAGGAGGAACATAAGACAGACATTAACGTCTCATTATTATTATTATTAAAGGTTAGTTAAAAGGTATTATTAGTTTGAAAGTGAACGTAAAGAATCTGGATTTGTGGAGTTGGAAAGATGTGAGCTTGCTCATCTCTCAAGACCGAACTGTCGTGGAGTTGCATTGTGGGTAATGTAGGCGTCATGTTTTGACAAGATAGAAGGAAGTGTTGAGCTCTCTAGGCCACTATACATATACATTATCTTTCCTTTGGATCCCTTTTAGCTTCCACAAAGTGTTCCCTGTAATTTCTATGAGTAATAAGAGAAAAACACAAAAGTTAGTAGGCCTACAGATGTCTTCAGGTATGTAATTATAAGTCATTACATTTAAATTGAGTTCTTCCTTTTTCTCAGCGCACACGTCGGCAGAAAAGTGTCTTTGAAAAGCCTCAAATTAAAAGTAATTTATTTTTCACATTCAGCCCACACGCTGACCTAATTCTGAAGGATTTATGGCTCCTCTTCGTGGCCGTTTGGCGGATTAAGAAGTCACAGATTTTCCAAGTGTTATTTATTCCTCCCTGAAGCTGGTAGCAGAGTCTGTGTAATCTCCAGCCTTCAGCCTTGACAGCCTAATTTGCCCAGTCAGAGGGTCCATTAAGAGGCAGCGCTGGAGCTCGTTAATGAAGCACTTCCACTGCGCGGTACGACGCGGCTCCACTCACTTCTACTCACTGCCATCTGACAGGAGACATCAATATTAGTTCTGAGCAACTTTCCAGGTTGTCTTCAACAAGAATAATCAGTGAAACGGTTATGGTAACTGCAGGCCACCGCGCGCGTGCGCGCGCACACACACACACACACACACACACACACACACACACACACACACAC